ATTTGAAGAACAATCTAAAGCAAATAAAAAATTAGAAGAAGAAGTAACAGAATTAGAAGAAGAAATGGAAGAATTAGATGGAGTATCAAAAAATTTAAGAAAAAATTTAGAAGATATAGAAAAAGAAAAGAATGGATATAATGATAGTATAAATAATATTTGTAAAGAAGCAGAAAATTATAGTGGAACACTTGGAATATTAAAGAAACAATTAGAACTTCATTCAGAAGATTTACAAAGATGGTCAGGAATGTTAGAAGGAAAAAGTAATGTAGGAGATGTAGAATCTATTGTTATGAAATTAAAAGCAGACAATGAAGAAAAAACACCTCAAGAAAGAGTAGCTATATATCTTGCTATGTTACAAACCGAAAATGAAGAAATGGATAAATTATATAAAACAAAATTAGATGAAATGAATGGAATAGGAGAAACAAAAAAGAAGAAACCAGTTGTTAAAAAACCAGCAGTTAAGAAATAATTTTCTTAAAACCATTCAATTTTTTAAACATTAAATCATTTTTTGGTTATAATATTTCTTTTTTTTTTTTATTTTAATTTTTATTTTAATATTTGAATTAAAAAAAATTATTATTATAAATATTATTTTTCTTTTTTTAATTTTTATTTCATATAAAATAAAAATTCATTTATCAATAATTAATAATATTTCTTATCTATTTTATCATCTTTTATTCATTCAATTTCTTTTATTTGATAAATCATTTATTGAATATCTATTAATTAAATGATATTTTAATCATCAAAAACAACTATTTCATTATTTAGTAATGTTAAAAAGACTAAATAAACTAAAGAAAATATTCATACAACAATTCATTTAATATTATCTTTCAATGTTTAATCAAAAAAAGAATATCAAAAATTTAAACAAAAAAGAAAGAAAACAACACATAAATAATAAAAGAATAACAGAGAAATGAATTGAAACAATGATAATAGTAAATAGAAAATAAGAAAGAAGAAAGAAATAAAAGGATATATAAAACAGAAAATAATATACAGATTTAAGAAAAAACTGAAAAAGAAGAAACGTTGAAAACTTTAAAAAGAGAACTTGAAAAGAGGAAATTTAGAGAAATGGGAGAAGAAGCACCAGCAGTAGATTACACCACAGCAGTTGAAAAACATGTAGAAATTGCAGACCAAGTCATAAAAGGAGGAATAAACATTGAAGAAGGACTTAAAGAAATGTTAGATGTTATTCCATTAGGATGTAAAGACACTCCAATATTAGAAAAAAATGCAGAAGCAATATTAAGTGTATTAGCATCAGTTAAAGAAGTAAAAGAAAGTTACGTTTCAACACTCTCAATAGAACAACAAAGTTGGTTAATGATGTATGTTTATAAAGGACTTGGAGCATCAGAAAATAAAGAAGCTACATTTGTTCCACCAGCACAAATCATGTTCAAATGGTTTAATACTATTTATAAAGTTGGAGGAGATGGATGTGTTATGAGGGCTGTTTCAAGAAGAAAAGCACTTTAAATTCATTCAGTTTTTTGTTCGATATTATTTTTTGTTATTTATTTAATTTTTTTGTTATGATAAATATAAAAATAAGAAATGATGTCATCAAATATACTTGTTGAACAACCTTTAGTGATATTTTTATAGGATTAGAGATGTAGATAATTTCAAAAAGGATGTAATTTGTTTTGTTTTTTTGGAAATATTTTAAAAGTTTATTTTTATGTCTTCTCGTTCATTCCAATTTTAGAATGTGTTAATTGATTGATCTAATAATTCATCTCACTTTATTAAATGTCACAAACCAAGAAAGAAGAACTTATTAACGTTTATCTTTCAAAGTACAAGGATGTTGATAAATTGAGTGAACAAATCAAACGTCTTTTGTTGGACCATGACTTAAGTTTAGAAGTTAAATTTAAACCAAAGAGGCGCCCATGTGATGACTATCAAATAATAAATGTTCACAACGGATTTATTAATAAACAAAATACATTTTCTATTATTTCTAAGATACAAGATGAAACAGTAAAATTAGAAGTTGAAATTACAAATTTCAAAAAAGAAAAAGTTGAATTTGAAATGATTCAAAATGGGTTGTTTGAGTATAAAGTGTTTTTTACTCCAAAACTGATTGGAGAACATTTAATTATTGTTTCTGTTGATGGGTGTTCTCTTCCTCCAGTTTCATTAAATATAAACGATGTTATTGATATTTCCCAATGTTGGATAGATGGAAAAATCAAAGAAGGAGGATTGCTTGAAACAGAAAGAGTTATAGGTCAACTTCATATGATTGGAGAATCTGGATCTCCTTTTGAAGGTGAGTGTACAACTACAATAAGTTGTTTTACACCAAACAATAAAGAAATAAAAGGTAGAGTTATAAAAGGAGAGCATGGAATTTATACATTGGAATGTGGTATCAGCAAAAGAGGAATTTATACATTTGATATTTGGATTAATAATAAACGAATTAGAGCACTATTATTTAATACTCATTTCATACTTCCTATTTGTCCATCTAAATGTTCTATCTCAGGTAAAGGAATGGAAGAGATAAAAACTATCAAAATGACAAAGACTGTAGAATTTATTATTCAAACAAAAGATAAAAATGGAGACTGTATATTAGAAGGAGGACATAAATTTAATATTCACATCACAGATCCTAAAAACCAAGCAATACCCTGTGAATGTACAGACAATAAAGATGGTACTTATACTTGTAAATACACTCCATCTTATTGTGGAAAATATCAGATTGATGTTAAGTATCAAACAAAACCTTTAGCCCAATCACCTTATCTAATAACAATTGAAGAAAACTATGAAGAAGAAAGCGCTCAATACTGTTTTAAAGTTCATCTTCTTATTGTTCTTGTTGTGTTTATTCTAGCAATGATTTATAAATTAAATCATCCCAAAATGAGATATCTAGAATAACTTTGATTATTTAATTCACTTAATTTTTTGTTCTTTTAACATTAAAAAAAAACAAAATTATCAATAAATATTTTTTGTTTTAGTTTAAATAAAATATTTCTAAAAAGTAATAGTAAGTTTCTAATAAAATAATAGAAAATTAAAAATCAAAAAAAATCTTAAAAAGAAGAACAAAATTAAATATGTCGGTTATCGACTTCATCTTAGAACCAATAAGTCAAATAGTCCATGTTCCAGTATACTTATTGAAATACTTTTCTTCTTTTGTGCTATCATTACCAATGACATATTATTGTAGATATCTTCCAAATAATCCATCATTAAAGCATAAGGTATATGGGTCTATTGGAATAACTATGTCATTAATTGTGTTTGGACCAATCACATTTTCTATTATCTTTTTAGGACTTCCAATTTATTATATTGCTAAAACGTATCCAACACGTATTATGGCAATAATAACAACGACTATGTTAATTCTTCATTTAGCTTGTATTCATTTATATAAAATACTACATACAGGAATGGTATATAATTTATCATTTTCAACAGTACATATGATGTATGTTATTAAATTTAGTACATTTGTATGGTCTGTTGTTGATGCCCATGAAAATAATACTAAATTATGTGAACATCGTAAACAAATGATGATTAAAACATATCCGTCATTACTTGAATTCTTTGGATATACTTTCTTTTTCCCAGGAATCTTTAGTGGACCATCATTAGAATACATTGACTATATTAAATTTATTACTTTAGAACAATTTAAAGATTATCCAAAAGATAAAATGGAAGGAGATGTTCCAAAAATTCCAATGAATTTGTTCTACAAACGAATAGGACTAGGAATTGCTTTTTATATGTTAGTATGGGCAATATCAATTTTTGAGCCATTACTTGCTGATTACTATTTCTTAGAAGCACCTGAATTACATGGATTTTTCTTTAAAATGTTTGCTATTTGGTATACTGGTGAATTAGCATTAGCTAAATATATTGGTACATGGTATGTTGCTGATGCAATGTCGGTTATTGGTGGATTTGGATTTACAACTATTAAAAATGGTAAAGAGGTATGGGATAAATTTACTAATATTGATTTCCCTGTATTTTATTTAAGTACGTCATTTAGAAATTCAATTGTTTTATGGAATAGATATGTACAGAATTGGTTAAGTAATTATGTTTATCTTAACCTTGAAGGAACTAAATTAGATGCCTTTAAAACTGTTATAACAAATCTTGTTAGTGCATTCTGGCATGGATTCCTTCCTGGGTATTATATTTCATTTGGTACTCTTGCTCTTCATACTGAATTAAGTAAATTAATTTATAAAAAATTAACTCCATACATTATTTATTTGACAAAGAATAATAAGAAAATGATGACAGTTTGGAATGTATTCTTAATTATCTTTACTAATTTGTCAATTAAATATAATTTCTGTCCTTTCTTTATGATGACATTTAAGGCTTCATGGGAAATGTTTAAACAGACTTACTTCTGTTTCCATTTGATTGCATTAATTTTGTTTATTTGGTTAACTGTTGCACCTCCTAAAATCCCAAAAGAAGAAAAGAATAAAAAAGAGTAATTAATTATTTCTTTTTAATTAAATAGACTTATTTTATTGCAATGATTCAATACAACATAATCCTGCAGATACTAACCCAGCTAATGTAGAAAGTTCTTCTGGTAAATTAACTAATCCTAAACCATTCAAGGCAATAATAAGTTCTGTTGTAATTTTTACATATCTAATATATCTTTTTAATGGTTCGTCTTGTTCTTCTTTAATATATTCAAGACCTATTGATGATAATACAGCAACAAGGAATGATAAATTACCAATTGCACTAGTATAGGGAATGACAGTGTTATTAGTTAAAGATGTAATAGCATTTAAATTGTCCATTGCAAAAAAACCAAGCATCCCTCCTGATTTTAATATTTTGAGAAAGAACTCTGGATTTTCATAAGATGAATCTAAGGTTATTTTAAAATTGTTCATTTCTTTTAAAACATTACCAATAGCAAAATATTTTCTTGACGTTCCTAATAATGTTACTATTCTCATTAATACTTTCTTTTTAGTAACGTTATCTTGTGAAGTTAATAATGCAACTAATTTTGCAGCACACTGTATAGTTCTAAAAAAGGCATCTCGTGTTCCATATCCACTCACAAAATTTGATGTCTTAAGAAGAACAGAATTCATTGTATCTAATAGTTCAACTTCATTTTTTATTTTTCATTAATTTTTAAGAATTAAAAAAGTATAATAAAAATTAATATATTATTTTTAGTGTATTGCAAAGTTCCAAACAATCAAGAAAAAAAAAAAACATAATTTTATATGTTAAGATGAAAAGACAACATTCCACTATGAGTTGTTTTAGTGAAGGGCAAGTAATTTAAAAACAATTAGACATGAGGCAATGATAGATGAATAAAAAAGAGGTTATTGAAACTTCTGATGATGCTTTTTTTGAAGTTTTACCATCTGTAGAAAAGAAAGAACAATCATCAAGTGTCTTTTATTCAAATATTAGAAAAAAAGAAATTGGTATTTCAGACGATAGTTCTTATGGGGTATTTTCACTCGATAAAAGAGATGATAGTTCAAGTGGATCTTTTTTGAGAAAGCAATATCCGTCAAATGTTACTGAGTTTTCAAGTCCATATTTATCTAACACACCATTACCATTATATTCTCCAGGACCAAAAGAATATTTTATTGTAAATATGATCAACCAAGGAACAATTAACCTTATCGGAGAAGTAGAACTAAACAAAATCGAGGAAAAAGAAAGTATTGAGCATCCTATGGCTTTTAAACAAGAATTTATTTTATCAGAACATCAAAAATTTCATCCTTTAAATAGAAGAAAGAAAAAAAGTGAAATAAATGAAGATTCTTCTCGTTGTGAATCTGATAGTGAAATTACAAGCGAAAGAAGTGGTTTGTTTATGGAAGATAGTATTGAAAAATATATAAAGAAACAGTTAGTTATAAAAGGAAGACATTTCAAAAAATTGAAACAATGGATTGGGTTATCTAAATACAAAATCATTTTCGATAGTTGTATTGATCACTTAGTAACAGATGTATTTAACCAAAAAGTTGAAGGTAAATCAAATACTTCTATAATTATTGTAACTAATAACAATTGGGTTTTTGGTTGTTTCAATAAACTAAAAATACCAATAATCAATAATCAAGAAGAGACTCATGGATTGAGTGATAATGGATTTTTTATCTTTTCATTGAACAACCCACATCACACAATGCCAATTAAAATTACACAAAAAGAAACCATTCCAGGAAAATTAATATTATATCCTAAAGATTCAAATCAATTATTTGGGGTAGAAGATGCATTCATTATTTCTCAATCACCAAACGAATCATATATTTTTAGAAATATTGAACAATATTATGTAATACCATCAATAGTTGGAAAAGAATTATTTACTGGATGCTGTTATCCAGACTGTTTTTGTGTTGATAAACTATTTGTGATAGAATGGTTTTGAATTAATACTTAATTGTTTCTACGTGAATTAACTAAGGAATGAGATTCTATTAATGTCCTCTTTTCTCATCAGATGCTTTAATTGATCGTTCAATACATAATTGTATAAATGGATCATTAATCTGTATAAAATCTAGTAATAAAACATTAATTGGAAATGATTCGAGTTCTTTACAATGAAGAAATTGAAAAAAGTTTTCTTTAACTTTATATGAAACCCCTTTCAATGATTTTGAATGAGAAATAGACAAATAACATGATTTAATACTTTTGTTAGTAGGGGTTAGTATGATTTGAAGAATGGTAATTCCAGTTCTTCTCTTATTAATCCAATTTATTCCATCTATTAAAATTCTTTGACTAACCTCTTGGAATGTTGGTCTGTCTGGCCAATAGGAATGAATGAAATCTTGATTCCAGATATATGGAAATCCTTTAACTTCTTTTGGATAATCGTAAAATATAAAAACTCGTTTATTATTAGTAACTAAAACTTCAAGCGGAATGTTAAGATTATCTGGATTACATTCTACACTAATTCCATTGAATAAACAACTTATTATTTCTAAAATTTTTTCATTATCCTCTTTGTTCATATTATAGATATGATTAATATCAAGAATTATGACTTCTTTCTTGTGGTACCAAATAAATTCACTCAGTTGTGTTAATATTACAACAAATAAATCACAGTACAAACCATGTACAGTATAAATATCATCTTTAAATTTTTGAATTCTTAAATCAAAATATCGAACCCCTTCTTGTAATTGTTGGAGGATAGTGAGTGTTTGTGTCTCTGACCAGTCCTTAACAAATCCATTCATTATAATGGGAAATGAGTCATAAGGTTCTGCTGCTTTGATTTGGGTTTTAGTATTATAACTAAAACAGTTATGAGAACCAGCCAAACAAATCTCCTTAATTGTAAGATTTAATACATTTGATTCACCCATCCAATCAGATTTATCATTTAAACGTGACATTTATACTATTATTTTTCTAGTTTTTAGTTTCTTTTTATGTTAAAAAAAAAACTAAATAAAAGAACTAAGAACATGATTTAGAATCCTTGCATTTCATTCATAAATAATGCTTGTCTTCTTTTCATTTCCTTCATAGAGTCTTTCAACATTAATACTGTTCCGTCGTTAGTTGTTATAATAAATGAGCCATCTTCATCATCAAGCATATGAACAGCAGTGATTTTACTATTTAATTTTCTGGTTTCTACGAATTTAAGAACATCATGTTTTTTTTCTTTAACATTTTCAAGAATATAAATTGTGCCACTTTCTGCTGTAATAGCTAAAATAGTAGAACCAGTAACATTGATTAGTTGAGTGACATCAACGTTATATCTTCCATAAGGCAAAGCAAAGACGTTGTCTATTCTTTTAGGTGATACATCAATGAGTTGGTCATTCTTTTCTTCCATTTGAACAATCCATCCACCATAAGCAAAATAGTATGTCACAGTATTATCCTTTGAGAATGATAACAAGGAATTAATATTAAATAAAGGTTTCTTTTGTTCTGTAGATTGAACTTGTAATCCCATAACTTGAAGTAAATTAAAATGAGAAGGTTCCCAAATAGCAACAATTCCATCACAAGATACAGTAATTAACTTATTATTAGCCATTTCAATAAGATCTACATCATCTATATGGGGTGAACTTCCTTCTTTTTCTAACTTTTTAATAAATTTTGAAGAAGATGGTTGTTCAGTGTTAATTTGATACACATAAATATCATTTGTTCTACTGATAAATAATATTCCATCTTCAGTTAGAAGTGATGTTTTATAATAATCATCAGATTCTCTTTCCATTATATATAATGGGATATTATTAGTAGTATTCCAGAATGCTATTTTTTTATCATTGGCAATAGTAATAATAATGTCATTAAGAATATAAATTTTTTTAATAATACCGTCATGGTTTGTATGTGTTCCTTCTTCAATTAAAAGTTCATTATCTTTTAATTGAATAAAATTAGTTAAAGAGATTCTATAAATTTCTTTTTTAAATGCAATAACAATTATTCCATTAAAAAATTGAATATCTCCAATAGTTCCTTTTGAAATCATTTCATTTTCACAATTAATTTGATATTTCTCTTTAAGTTCACAAATATATTTTTCTGATAATTCTAATATTTCTTTTTCATTTTCATTATTAACATTTTTAATACTGCTTTGTATTTCAGTAAATATATGTTTTATTTCTTCTACTTCTTTCTTTAATTTATTTTCTTCTTCATTTTCTTCTTCTCTTTTTTCTTCTTTGTTTTTGTCTGAAGCATCATAATTATCAATAATAGTATTATCTTTGATAATAGGAGATGCATTAGTCATTCCTCCTTTCTCTTTAAATGAAACAATTCCATAACTTAATTTCTCTTTTGCTATACGTTCAATATTATTTTGTTTTTCCTCAATTAACTCTCTCAAAAACAATAAGAACTTTTTAACTCTAAGCATTCCAGTAGCTCGTGATTTCATAGTAATTGATTTAATTTCAACACCAGTCATATAATTAAATAAAATAATCCTTCCTGAATGATCCCCAACTAGAAAATACTTTTCTTTATTAAATGAAAAATAACAAAATGAATCAACATTTCCTGAGTCATTTGCTCCTGTTTGTTGTTTATTTATTTCAGTTGAATCTCCATAAGTAATAAAACTATATTCATAGGAATAATCACAAAGTGTCTTGGTTTCTTTCTTAAAGAACGATAACATTCTACCTTTCTTTTGAACTTTCTTTTAAAAATTTTATTTAATTTAATTATAACTTATTTTATTATTTAAATATACTATATCCTATAATTTTTATTAACTCTTAAAAGTTTATTCCAAGTAATTGTGACTCACATCTAACAACTTATCTGAATTTAATTAGGCACATTCTCTGTATCACTTTATACCTTTTTTATTCTCATAATATCATCAATGAAATTCACATATCAAAACACAGAAACAATAGTATGTCACTCAGTAAATAAAGAAATATAATTACTTAATGAAACAAATATTCACAATAGAAAAATACCATACAAAATTGAAGAATGAGCTTCTGAAAGAAGAGTAAAAAATAAATTAGTTTATGAGTAATAAGAAAAACTTAGACTTGATTAAACAATAACTAGAATAATACAAATTATTTATTGTTCAAACAAGAAGAAACATATACCTCTTTTTTTTTTAATAGATATACAAACAACTTTGGTTATTTGAAAGAAGAATTAGTAAGATATTTTCAATTCTAGTTATCAAAGAATATTATTTATCATTCATTAGGTAAGTATGATCTTTAAATTGAATAAACAATTTAATCTAGTTGACAACTATTCTTTTGTTTTATCTAATCCTAAAAATGTTATAAATTATTTGAGACAATTCTAACTATGATTAATTCATGAGTTTGTTATTGTTTGAAGAGTGGACGCTAATGTAGATTTATACAAAGAGAATTAGTTGTATTTTCTCAAGCTCGTTTAATAATACAACACATTGACAAAGACTTATCAATGAAATTCCTAGTGAATTAATGCTATACTTGCAAAGCAATGAAAATTGATATCTTATAAAGTCATTAATTAACAGAATGTATTTATTTGAAGTTATTCTAAATTATGACACATTAAAAGAAATTATTTTTTTGTTATTCTCAGAATAAATTCATAAAGAAAAGAAGTTAGTAATAGTCCTTTAAATATCAAGAGACATAGAGTAGAATATAGTAATATTGTTTTTTGGTATTTGCCTAAGAAGAATAATAATGAGGAAATGAGTTATGAATTAATGGAAGAGTGGTGACGTTATACCACGTTTTTAAAGATAAAAAACTCAAAAATGATAAAATTGTATAACTAATGTTAATCAACATTAAACTTCTTAATGGAAGAATTCTCTCTATTGATCTTGAACCAACAGATAAAATCTCAGACCTTAAAGCTAAATTAGAAGAAATTGAAGGTATCACTCCTGAACAACAAAGACTTGTCTTTGGTGGAAGACAACTTGGTGATGATAAAACACTTCAAGAACTTAACATTCAACCAGGAACTCAAATTAATCTTCTTCTTGCTTTAAGAGGAGGTTTTTAATTAAATTATAGAATTTAATTGATTTATTATTGGTCAATAATTATTTAATGTCTTTTTATATAAAAGTGTTCCTTCTTCTAGTAATGAAAAAAAATAATATCTTATGATAATTTCATTTGAAAAGACTTAATAAATTAAAAATAATTTCATTAACTATATTAAATTCTTCGTCATTATCTTTTTTAAGTTCAATTTTTAATCTTTTATTTATCATTGTCTATCTATGCAAATAGTTAAAATCATTGTTTTTATAATGACTTTATTCTTTTTTATTTTTATCATTCAATTATTCATGTACTATCCTGTTAAGACATTAGATTTTAAAGTTCATGAAGGTGGTCCAATTTTAACTAACAAAAAAGAAGAACTAATTGATGAAGAGGATGAAAGTTTTTGGGCTAATGCAGAAGTCATTCCAAAATCATATTCATCTAAACGATATCGTATTGCAATAGTTTCACCTGAAGGTGTAAAAGTTATTGGTACACCTCATCATCCAAATATTGAATTTATCATATCACAATATTCTGCTGAGAATGTTAAAGCAATGTGGCCAAGAAAAGGATTTTATCTTGGTAATTTTGATATTGATTATCGTCATGAAACAGAAAAAGAATATCCATTTGATCAATACAAAGAAGACATTTGTATATCTGAAATTTATCATGATATGGGTAAAAGATCAGGTGATTATGATCAAGCTGATTTAATTTTCATTCCACCAATTGGAGTTAAATTAGATGATGAATTTGCAAATAAATTATATAATTTTCTTACAGCATCAGAAGATAAAATTCCTAATGCATGTGCATACCAAGTCTATATGACTAAAAAAGAAAGAATAAAAAACAAAGTATTTACAAAATTAGCTGGATTTATTCCTGATTATCCATATAAAAGTTTTAGATCTTTTGGAGGAACATTAATAAAAAGAAAAGATCTTAAACCAATTTCTATTTGGACAAGTGAGATGTGGTTTAGAAATAGATATGAAGCACTTGTTCAACATTATTGTGAAGTTCTTGATCAACCAATTGTTGTTTCTCCAACAAATTTATATTCACCATTGATCGATTTTTAAAATATATAGATTGTGTTTACTTTATCATTTCTTCTTTTATTTAATTAACCAATTACTTTATTAAATATTAAGTATCAATTTGAGATGAAACAATCCTTTTTTTTTCAATTATAATTTTATCTAGTTAAAAATACTTTATTAAATTCTCTTTTATTTTATTTATCTTTTCTTGATATAGAATTTCATTGTGTTAATTTCATTAATAGAAATAAAGAAATAGTTTAAGAACAATATCTAATAAAAAAAAATAAGAAATACTCTATTCATGAACAATTATATTAAAAATAAAAATATACTTCAAAAACAACCAAAAAATTACTGTATTAGATCATTCACAAATGAATCAAAGAATTGTACAAATTCTTTATATGAATACTTTGGTTTTTGATCATTTTCATTATCACTATTATTATAAGAATCTTCTTCTTCCATTCTATTATTTTGAATTATTTCAGTTTTATTTTCTCGTTCTTCTTGAACAGAAATTAATGTAGGGACTCTTGTAACATCAAAATCTATTATTTTATTAAATGGTATTGGAACACAAACATTTCCAGTAGCAGGATGAATACAAAAAGGAGCTTTAAGTAAATGATTTCTTTTCATAGAAACATTAATATCAAGTCTAGGATAAAGATAAGTAAAAACAATTCTTTGTAATGCTTTAGGATCATCACTCTAAATTAAGTAAATATTATAATATTATAACAAAGAAAATAAAAAAATAGAGAAGTAAACTAACAAACAAGAATTTTTTTTACATAATCCCATGTTAAATCTTCTTTTTCATCACATTGAGATTGTTTTGAAGTTGGAATAAGTCTAATAAAACGAGAACGTCTTTCAGAACATTCAAAAATTTGTTCATCTTGAAGATATTTATTAAATAAAGGTTCTAAAATTTGATATGAATCATCAAATAATGAATGACGTCCAGGAATTACTATATATGATTCATTTTGTGAATTTGTATGTTTTGCTTCAAAAAGATTTAAATATTGAACAATATTCATTCTTAATGTATCTGTCATTTCCATTGCAATATCATCACATACCCAAATATGAATTCCTCTTCTTCCACTAAATACATTTAAAATATGATTAAATCCAAATTGTTCATGAAGAATATAATTTAATACTTGAACAGCAGCAACTAATAATGTCCAACATTTTTTACAAATATTTGTTCCTTGACAACAATATCTTACATCATTATATTCATCCATATCAATATCAATAATAAATTCTCTTAATAAAGGTGTATTAGTTACTCCAATTAATAATTTATCAAAAACTGCACCAATATCAAATTTAATTGGTACTTTCTCTTTTAATTTTCTCTTTAATTCTTCATTACTTTTAAAATGTTGATATCGAATATAACTTTCATCAGACATAGTAAATGATAATTCTCTTGTATCAGAATATTTTTTATTTCTTGTTATCCATTTATAAAATGTTTCAACAGGAAATGATTTATCATAATATTCCTTTCTTTGTTTTAATGTTGAATCTTCAATGTCCATCAAAAGTATTTTTTTTTTCTATATTTTTTTTATTAAACAAAAAACAAAAAAAAAAAAAATTTAATTTTAAAATAAATAACATAAATAATAAAAATAACTTTAAAAAAAAAAAAAGAAAAAAATAAAAAAAATAAAGGGTTTAAAAAAGATAAATATGATAAATTTTTGATCTCTAAGAAATATAAATAGAAAAAGATATATTAAATGGTCTTTATTCTGTTTAAATATATATTAAGTAATTTTTGGAGATATTGTGCATGTTCATTATTATATAATTATGCAGCATTTTTATTTTGGCTTGTTGTACCATTAGTTGCAACAAAACAAGATGCAAGTAATTGGGATTTAGCAATTATTAATGCAATTAATTTTGGATGTTGTTTTCTTCTATCATGGGTATGTGGATTTATTAATAATTTTCTTCCAGGATGGTTACTTGCAAGAATTGGTGTATTAATTTATATTGCAGCATGTATTTTATTAATGTTTATTAATGATAATTTATGGATATTATGGATTATGGGTATTATGTATGCATTTTCATATGTTTTATTTTGGATTCCAATTCAAACATCAATTTCAAGAGAAAGTACAGCAGGAGATGCAGAATTTTGGTTAGGTGTATTTAGTGGAATGTGGACATTTGGACAATCACTTGGATATTTATGTGGAGCATTTTTATTTACAAAATTAGGAATATCACAAGCATTATCTATATCAGTAGCTGCATTAGTTATTGTATTTATTATTTATCCATGTTGGGAAGGAAGTATAGTTTGTGGGAAAGATTTATCATATAATAAAGTTAAAAATACTGAAGAAATGACAGAAGAAGAATTAAAAAAAGAAGAAGAAAAGAAAAAGAAAGAACCAATTATTTGGAAAATGGGAAAAAATGAACGAGCAAAACTTAAAAAGAGAACTATGCAATTTCTTATTCCATCATTTGTATGTTGTATTACTTGTTATGGAAATTTATTAACATATGGATCACAATATTTTAATAGAATTTTTGATACTAAAGATGGATATTTCCCTACTATGAAAGATGATGATGATAGATATGATATTTTTATTGGAGTTTTCTTTTGTACAATTTATTTTATGTATACAATAGGAATTCTTACTGTAGCACAATTTAAATTTATGTATTTTAATAGAGGATTAATGTATTTTTTTATGATAGTATCAATTATTAATCATTTTATTTGTGGAGTAGTTTCTCATTGGATTGCTCAATTATTAAGTGCAGTTTTTTTAGGATTATGTGGTGCATATTCTTTCCAAAATGTTTTAATTACAACTTCTCGTCTTTCAATGTTAACATCAAATATTTCATCTATATATGTTGGTCTTCAAGAATCTTTAACATATAATATGGTAGCTTTTTCTTTACCTCTTATAGTTGGACCAATTTCAGATTCATTAAATGATTATAGAATTCCAATGTTTGGATGTGCAATAGTAGGAGTTGTATCATTATTTATTTCAGAAATTAGTTGGCAATTATTTGATATTTTTATAATTAGAAAAATGGATAAAAAAGATGTACAACAAGTTATAGATTTATGTGAACAAATTCTTAATGATGGTTATGCTCAAAAATTTATTGATAATCCAAATGAATATCATCAGTTTTGTCGAGATAATTGGTTAACTCCTAAACAAATAGATGTTCTTTTTTCTCGTTTAAAAAGAAAATTAATAGAATAAAGAAAAATATTTACCAATTTTATAATAATTTGATTGTTTTCTTTTATTTTAAATAAATATTATTTTTTAAATATTATAGAAAATTAATTATAAATAAAATAATTTATTTTAATTTATAACAAAATGTTAATTAAACGTTAATTGCAGTTTGTTTAATTGCAGGTGTATCTGTTTTTTCTAATTGTGCTTGTTCAGTTAATACTCGAATAATAGAATCAGTATCATTATTTAATATTAATCCAGCTTGAATAAATTCATTTAATACATAATGTACTCTATCTGAATGAAAAACTAAATCTAATTCACAAACATTCTCAAAACATTTATCAAGAACTTCAACAATATTTTGAATTAATGAATGAATAAATAATTCATTTTCATTATCATCAAATACACAAATAAAACTAAGAGTAGCATATGTTCTACTTACTGCAGTAATTCCTTTTTCTCCCCAAATAGATTGTGGTACAGAAATAATATTACATGATTTTCCAGTTCTTTTACATAAAAGTGCATATAAATCTCTAACAATTTTTTGTTGTTCTTCTTCTTTTATATGATTATAAAAACGAATTAATCGAATTTTTCCCATATTATTAATAATAATAAATGCTTTAATCATCTTTTATATTTTATTTCTATTTTTCTAAGTTCTTTTCTTCTCAACTTTTCTCTTTCTCTTTTTTTTTTTTCTTTTTATTTAAATGAAAATAAAATTTCTGGTTTAAAAAAATTATGAAATTATCATTGATTTTAATTAATTGGTTCTTTCAAATTCCCTTTTTCTTCTTCTCTAATTGTTAAATGATGTTTCATTTCTTCATAAATTTGTTCACATTCTTTTAATTGGAAAAGTAATCCAACAAGTTCTTGATCTTTAACTTTTACTTCTTCAAATATTATAATATCACCATCAAATTGTGCTTTGATTAATCCTTTTTGTATTAATTTATTCAATTGTACTTTTAATTGATTTTTTTCATAATGAATTCTTTTTGCTAATGTTTCAATCATAATTGAATTAAATGCTTTAGAAACCTTATTAATTCCTAAATAAATATATGAAACAAGAATTTGTTTAGCTAATCCTAAATTACCATCTTGTTTAAGTACTAAAGAAAATGTTTCAATAAGAAATTTAACTTTTTCTGGTCCATTAATGAAATTTTCTTGAATTTCTTTATAAGCAAGTACTGGTCTATATAAATTAGTAAAGTAATTTAACTGTCTTGAAATAGGATATGGACTATAGTTTAGTATAAGAGAAAGTAATGACTCTTTTTTCCATGCTGCAATACATTGTGGAGTTATCTCTTTTGATGGTGTTGTAATACATTGATCAAAAAGGAAATAAGCTGATTGAAGATCATGGTTATACAAAGCAATACATCCTGAATAATATAAGAATAATTGAAGAGTGAAAGAATTCATTGGTTGTTGAACTTTATGATATTTTGTTAAATATAATACTTGACCATGTTCATATTCTTTTTTTGCAAAAAGAATATGTGCTAATAATGCATGATATGGTGATAATACTCCACATGGCACTTTATTTAACAAAAAACATACTAAATCTGTTAATTTATCTAATAATGAACATTGTCTTTGACAAAATCGTTCAATACTTTGAAGTGTTTCAAGAAAAATAGGTTCAAGTGATTTTTTCATTGAAGGAGATATATTTTCATAATAATTTTTTAATGATGAAATCATTTTTGTTAAATTCTTATCATTTAATGTTCTTGTTTGTTCCTTTCTATAACATCAATAATCAATCATTAATATATTTTTATTAATATAATGAAAATAAATTTTTAGTTATATTGAGTTATTGAAAAATAAACAAACAATATTAATAAATGACTTGATGGATAACCAGAAATTGTGTATTGTTCTAAAAGTTCATTATATTTTTCATATGTCTTTGGTGAGAATGTTAATCCCTTTATCTCTTTAAATAATGTTGATTGGTTTTTATTAAGTACATTACTTAAATCATTACTACTTGACATTTTTTATAATAATTGTTATTCAAGTTCTTTCCTTTTAAGTTTTTTCTTTTCTTTTTCATACCTCAAACAAAAAACAAAATCTAAAAAACTAATTTTGATTTATTTTTTTAAGTTCTTTTTTTAAATTTATTCTTAAATTTTTTATATATTTCTCAAAATAACTTAATTATTGTATAGTGCTATTTTCATTTCCTCTGAATTGTTCAATTGTTAAATCAGTATATAATCATTTCACAATATACGGAATCTTTAAGTTAGTCTTTTTTGATTTGTTAATTCTTTTTTGTTATATGAACTTATAAATATCATAAAAAGAGAAATTATTAAAAATAAGAAAAAAAATAAAAAATAAAAAACAGACAATTAATCAGCCAAATTGTAGTTTCTTAATTTATTGATATGTTGAGTTTGATTATTTGTTGTCATGACTAATAGGTTGTCTGTTTGATCTCTTACATTAAATGGAATTTTCTTCAGAGCGTCCAAATGAATTGACACTTCTCAAACGAGAATCAAAAACATACGAAGCAATCCAACAAGGTGTAATCATTGGATTACTTATTATTAATGGATACTCCATTGAAATTAATGCACCAAGTCGTTTTGCTATAAAATCACTTCAACTATTCAGCATCAACGAAATCTATTTTAATTCAATTGCAATGAAGTTTGGAATAACAATCAATGTATCATGTGAACTTGGCTATGAAGAAGAGATGAAAGAGAAAGGAGAGATGGATGAGAAGACAAAGAAAAGAGTCATCAAAAACACAAAACGAAGAAGGGATATAAACAAATCAGCAATAACATTCAACACAATGGTTCAAATGGTAGAAAACATTGGATATAAAATCACAAAGAGATCAATCAAAAGTGCAAAGAAAACAATCCAAATGATCAAAATCAAAGAAATTGGAATTGGAGAAGAATGGAAAATGAAAGAAGAAAGAATCCAAGAAATTGGAAGTTTAATCAATCAATACATTAAAGGACTCATCACAGGAACAGGTAAAACAATTATACTAAGAAATGATGATCAATATATTAATTCATTATTCATCATCAATACTGAAGAAGAGAATAAATGGATGAATATATCAGAAAGTACTTCACATGAAGTGTTTTTATTGTAATTATCTTCTTTTTAAATTATATTTTAAATGGTTTAAGTTAAAAATAATAAACAGAAGGAAAATTTTATTAAGAGGATTTCAGTGTTTCTCTTTTTTTAAATAAAACATGTTTATTTAATTATATATAAAATTGTTATAAATAACATGTATTTTCATGAACTGAAAAAGAAAAGAACTAATTGTCTAATGAGTTCGCCAAGCTCAGGAAAACTATTTTTAAATCATGGCGTTATCAAAA